CACTATATGGATGTAACCAAAATTTCTTTAACCATTACCAGTTTGGGGGCCAGAAAACTATACTCTGTTTTAGACTGCATTATAAGCAATGCCATTATAAGCATCCTCAAGGTTTTTGTATGTCTAATGGTTTCCCAGCCTCTTAGCCACCTTATTTTTCTCCATAACTAACCAACCATCTTGTTTATAACCAACTTACTATACATTTATTTTATTTATTGCCTATCTCCCTCAATCAAAATCTAAGCCCCTTGAAGGCAGAGTTTTTCATCTGATTTATTCCCAATGCCAAGTACAGTGCCTCAGATGTCATAGTCACCAAATAAATACTTGTTGGATATGGATGGATGCATGAATGGATGGATGGATACACAGAGGGATGACATGAGAGAAATACGGAATATGATAAAATCCTGGAAAAATGGGCTAACAGAGTCAAATGCTTTAAGGGAGGGATTAGGGAGAGGCAGGAGTTTGTGTGAGTTCTCTTGGTGCCAGAAAACTGTTTGTGTTTGTGGATGCCAAGTGTGGGTGGGGTTGGGAATCTACGTTCCACGGCCATGGGCTCTTTCAGGCCCCTCCCCCTTCCCTTTGTTGAAGTAGATCACCCCCAGGTTCAACTAGTTTCAGACTAACCCAAGCCTTTTTTTTTTTTCTTTTTTCTTTTTTAAGACGGAGTTTTGCTCCTGTTGACCAGGCTGGAGTGCAATGGCGCGATCTCGGCTCACTGCAACCTCCACCTCCCAGGTTCAAGCAACTCTCCTGTCTCAGCCTCCTGAGTAGCTGGAATTACAGGCGCATGCCACCACACCCGGGTACTTTTTGTATTTTTAGTAGAGACGGGGTTTCAGCATATTGGTCAGGCTGGACTCTAACTCCTGACCTCAGGTGATCCACCCGCCTCAGCCTCCCAAAGTGCTGGGATTACAGGTGTGAGTCATCTCGCCTGGCCCCCAAGCAGTTTCATAGGTTAAATGAGATTGTGCCAAATAAACTGTATTTCATTATTTTTTTTCCCAGTGTTTAAGGGCATTGTTGTTAATAAGGGTGATAAAAACAAGAAATATAACTAAGCCAGAGAGCCTCGACATAAAATTTTAAAATAAAAGGGTTTGGGCCGGGCGTGGTGGCTCAAGCCTGTAATCACAGCACTTTGGGAGGCCGAGACAGGCGGATCACGAGGTCAGGAGATCGAGACCATCCTGGCTAACACGGTGAAACCCCGTCTCTACTAAAAAATACAAAAAACTAGCTGGGCAAGGTGGCAGGCGCCTGTAGTCCCTGCTACTCGGGAGGCCGAGGCAGGAGAATGGCATAAACCCGGGAGGCGGCGCTTGCAGTGAGCCAAGATTGCGCCACTGTACTCCAGCCTGGGCGACAGAGCGAGACTCCATCTCAAATAAAATAAATAAATTAAATAAATAAATAAATAAAAGGGTTTGAATGCTTACAAAAATAGGGACAAAGCTACAGTAATCAAAACAGTATGGTACAAAGACAGACAAACAGACAGATAAAATAGGATAGACAGCCCAGAAACAAACCCTCAGGTATTTAGTCAAATGATTTTTAATACGGATGCCAAGTCCATTCAATGGAGAAAGGACAGTCATCTCAACAAATTATGATGGGAAATCTCAACAAATTATGATGGGAAAACTGAATAGGACTCTTACCTTATGCCATAAACAAAAGTTAACTAAAAATTGATGGAAGAGCTAAAAGTATAAAGCTTTTAGAAGAAAACCTAGAAAATCTTTGTGACATTGCATTTTGCAATGATTTCTTTGATATGGCACCAAAAGTTCAAGAAATAATACAAAAAAATAGATAACCTGGACTTTATCAAAATTAATGAAAGCCACTCATCAAGAGTGACAAGGTAATCCACAGAATGAAAGAAAATATTTGCAAATCATCTATTGGGTAGGGGATTAACATCCAGGATATATAAACAACTCCTAGAACTCAACAATAAAGACAAACAACCTAATTAAAAATGGAGAAAGGACTTGAATAGATACTTCTCCAAAGAATATATACAAATGGCCAATAAGCATATGAAAAGATGCTCAGTATCATTAGTCATTAGGAAAATACAAATCAAAACCACAATGATATACTACTTCACAGGCATCCTAATGGATGACTACTATTTGTAAACGAACAAAAACACTCAGAAAATAACATGTTGGCAAGGATAGGGAAAAATGCTCTGCATTGTGGTGGGATGTAAAATTGTACACAGTGGAGAACAGTATGATAGAACAATTAAACATAGAAACCATATGACTCCAACACGGCACTTGCATGGTTTATGTTCCAAAGAACAAAAAGCAGGAATCTAAACAGATATTTGTACATTGCTGTTTATAATAGCATTATTTACAATAGCCAAAGGTGGAGCAGCCCAAAGGGTCCATTGACAGATGAACGGATAAACAGAATGTGGTCTCCACACACAATGGAATAATATCCACTCTTAAACAGGAAGGACATCCTGCCACATGCTACAACATGGATGCACCCTGAAAACATTACGCCAAGTGAAATAAGCCACAGAAAGACAGACACTGTATGATTCCACTTCTGTGAGGTACCTAGAGTGGTCGCAATCAGAGAAAACTAGAATAATGGTTCCCAGCAGCTAGGGGGAGAGGAGAATGAGGAGTTTCAGTGCTTAATGGGCACAGAATTTCTGTTGGGGTCAGGAACGATTTGGCAATAGACTGTGGTGATGGTTGCACAACAATGTGAGTGTAAATGTCACTGAACTGTACACTTAAAAAGGGGTAAATGGTAAGTTTCATATTATGTATATTTTACCACAATAAAGAAACAGAAACCAGCTGGGCGTGGTGGCTCAAGCCTGTAATCCCAGCACTTTGGGTGCCGAGGAGGGTGGATCACCTGACGCTGGGAGTTTGAGGCCAGCCTGACCAACATGGAGAAACCCTGTCTCTACTAAAAATACAAAATTAGCCGGGCGTGGTGGTGCATGCCTGTAATCCCAGCAACTTGGGAGGCTGAGGGAGGAGAATTGCTTGAACCCGGGAGCCAGAGGTTGCAGTGAGCCAAGATCACACCATTGAATGCCAGCCTGGGCAAGAAGAGTGAAACTCCATCTCAAAAAATAAAATAAAAAAAAATTTTAAAAAAGAAAAACCAACTGTTCACTGTTTAGAAAATATGGAAGAAAGAAAAGTTTTTAAATATTGAAAATTTTAAAAGAAAAAGAAGCGGCTCAAAGCAGTAGGTCTGATGGTACCCCACAAATGCAGCTGACCTGACTGGCACAGTGGACGGCCAGTTCATTTGTGCCCATAGAAAACTCTTTGGCCTGCCAAGAAAGCAAGGGGTGGTGTGGCCAGAAGGTCTGAGACCCTGGGGGCAATCAAGTGACCAGGAAGCTCGTTCCAGGAAAGAAAAGGTTTACAGCCACTGCTCAAAAACACAGATAAGAAATCTAAGTCAATGTATTGTAAAAATAAAATGTAAGTTCACATTAGAATAATATTTAAGAAAAATCATTCAGTGGTATCTGAACTGGGTAGCCTAGTGTAAAAGATTTTTCCAGGGGTCCTTGGGGAAGACCTGATCCTACATCTTGGAGAAATAAAAAATTTAAAATATATATTTTCATGTTACCCAAAAGTTAGGGGTGTTTGAAAACTCTCTGAAATGACAAAGTAGAAGAGTTGGAACAGTTTGCACTGGCCGAATTATGACTATGTAAGCATCGAATATGAGCAACTATCACTCACTGGAAGAAGTTGAATCTGTAATTATCCTCAAGATTACATGATTTTGGCCAGGCATGGTGGCTCACACCTGTAATCCCAGCACTTTGGGAGGCCGAGGCGGGTGGATCATGAGATCAGGAGTTCGAGACCAGCCTGGCCAAGAAGGTGAAACCCCGTCTCTACTGAAAAAAAAAACCAAAAAACAAAAATTAGCCGAGCATGGTGATGCACGCCTGTAGTCCCAGCTACTTGGGAGGCTGAGGCAGGAGAATCACTTGAACCTGGGAGGCAGAGGTTGTGGTGAGCCAAGATCGTGCCATTGCACTCCAGCCTGGATAACAAGAGTGAAACTCCATCTAAAAAAAAAAAAAAAGCATGATTTTATAAGAAACATAAAAAGATCCTTAAATGCAAAAGGGGAAAGCGTAATAAGGGGGCTAATGCTTACTAATTTTAACAAGAGGAGAACAGTGGGGTCTGGGGGAGTCCTACCCCTGACTTTGGGTGTAGGTGGCAACGAGGCAGAAACCGCCTTGTGTCCTACCTAAGAGAAAGAGGGAACTCCCACAGCCAGGATCTGCCAAAAAAAGGTCAGGACTACCAACAACATGGGCGAGGGGGCCTCTGGGGTCATGCTGTTAGTCGCTGCGTAGATAGAGGGCTGGAATCTAAAAAATGCAAGAAGGTAGGTCACCCAAAGGTGGGGAAGGTCCTGGCTGGAGGATGAAGGGGCCTCTTGGCTCTGGGGCAAGATGATGTCAAGGGGAATGACAAACCAAACCAATCCAAAGCCAGGGCACTCTGTGTCCTGGGTTCTCGGACGAGGTGACTGGGAGGGAGCCCACCAAGCTCAGGGAAAGGCCTGGCCGCCGTCATCCACCTGCCCTCTGCCCTCCCTTCAACCTCAGCCTTAGCGTGGACCCGGGAGTCCTGCTTCCTCTCGTCCTGCTCCGCCTGGGCACACCACGGCCGCGAACCTCCTACTGGCATCAGCCCCTCCCCAGCACCGGCTGTGCGCTCCCGCCCCGCCCCCCGCACACACCCCCGCCCCACACTCCCGGCACTGCCGCCTGAGCCTTCCTGGAGTTACTTAATCCACCCCAGCCCCAGGCACTGAACCACGCGTGCAGACCCCTCGTCCTCAGTTCTGCGGAGAGAGGGTCCCCACAGCATTTCTGCTCCTCCCCCAAGACTGCGGCAGGGCACAGCACCAGCAGACCCCACACAGTGAGTACCTGTAGGGCAAGTGCCTCTTTCGTTGTCATTAATAATAGTCAGCTCCCTTCTCCACGGGAAGACCCTGCCTTGCAGCCCCAGCCTGGCCTGCCCCTTCTTGCAGGCCCGCTCCGAATCCTGGGTAGGACTCGTGACGAGGCTCCGGGTGGCCGAGCCCTTCCGCGAGCGGTGCGGTCGGCTGCGCTGGCGCTCTGGGCTGAGGGGGAGGGGCTCCCACACCTGTGCGCGCCCGGGAGCGGGGACAGCGGCGGGGGCGCCCTGCGCACGGGGGCGAGGGGAGACGACTGCGCCTGAGGGAGGCACAGCCGCAGCCGGGTGGGAGGCAGAGACACCGAGAAACAGAGACCGGGCGATACGCACAGACAAAGCCGGCCCGAGCGCGGCGCAGGAGGCTGCAGCCTGGCGGAGCAGCCCTCACCACCCCTGCGCGCCAGCGCCGACGCCCTCCCTGGCCGCCCCTCCCGCCGGCCTCCGGCGGCTTAACCCTCGCCTGCCCGACCCCACGGGGCCCCTGGAGCGGCGGTGGGTGGGTGCGGGCGCCGGGCCTCCCCCTCCAGGCCTCCGCGCGCGGCGCCGGGAGCTGACCGTGGTGCTGAGCGTGGCTCGCGCTCCAACGCGGTGCCCGACCCTGTCGCGGCCGCGCCCTGCTGCACCGCCGGCCCCCAGCGGTAAGTCGCCAAGGCCCGGAGAGGCTGCGTCGGTCCTGCCCCGCGGATGTGGACCCTGGGGGGAGGGCGAGGATTGGGGAATTTGGTGCGGTCTCTGGCGCGATGGATGGGCTGAGTGCAGGAAGCAGGGTCAACACCCTCCACCCAGTGGTGCCCGGCGCAGTCAGGGGCCTGGGGGCGGTGACCCTTTTAGGTCTGGGCTAGGGAAACGGAGAAACCGTCCGCCCGCGGATGCAGGAGCTGGGGAGAGCCAATACGGCTGTGAGGCCCATCTCCTTGCCCCTGGGCAGTCCAGAGGCGCCCTCCGAGGAGGTGGGCCAGGACCTTCCCTCCCCAGAGGGCCCTTTGTCTCCCCAACGTGGGGGTTGGGTGGCTTGGTGGTGCTCTCACAGCAGATTCTATTTCTGCCTTATTCTCCATTCCCACCCCCCTCCCCCCCTCCCCAGAGCACGGCCGCTTTCCCTCCCCACAGTGGCCCTCACTCCAGCCCTCCCATGACAAGGCAGACTACTACTGAGAACGCTATTGCCCCATAGCTCTGCCACCAGCCCAGTTTCCAGAGGTTCCTGGGCCTGCGCTTTTTTATCACCATACACTCCTTTGTATGGCACTGCTGCGACTTTCCTACATACCAGGGAAGGCATAGAAAATACCAAAACTATTAGCCAAATGTTTTATGCCTCAAGGCGTTTCTGTGGTGTGTGTATTCCTGCAGGGTTTTTATTTTGCTCCATGAAATCAAACATCCAGACACTTTCATGTTAAGAAAGGAAAGACAGGCACAGAATTACCTTCTCAAAGTAAAAAGGAAAAGCTGGGCAGCTAAGCCTGAGTTCGTCATGTAGAAAAGCAACCAGTATAATAACTTCGTTTGCCCAGTTTGCAATAAATTCATGTCTGTGTGTGCCGTGTAAAGCACTGTGATGGGAGGTGCACAGACACAGGAGTCTCTGCCACCACCTTCTCTCCCCTAAACCCTGCTTGGGCTCCTAACTCGCCTCCATATCTCCACTGTCTATTTTCACCTGCATCTTTGAAAGTGAGAATTGGCCCCTGTCACTTGCCCTGGAAGGCTGGCTCACCGTGGCTTGCAGATAAAAGCACGGCCCTCACTGAGACCTCAGGTCAGGTGGGGTGTGTGCAGCCCATCTCCAGGCCTCATCCCTCTGGCTTGCTGCTCTGGCCACTTCAGCTACTCTGGCCACTGGAGCTGCTTTCAGATCCTTAAATATTCCCCTTCTCTTGTGCCTCGGGGTCTTTCTGAAGCGTGTTCTGTCTGCCTGGAATATGCGTCCAGTGTCTTTTGCCTGGCTGTCCTCTTCTGTCTTTTAGGGTTTGGTTTAAATATCACATCCCTGTAACAGAATTACTTAAGTAAATACATTGTGTGGTCTCTGTCCCCATGGAACTTGCAAGTTCATCTTAGAGATGAAAGACTCAGCCCAGGGCCCTGGTGTCACTGAAACCTGTCTTAGAAAATGATGCACATAGGCCGGGAGTGGTGGTTTACACCTGTAATCCCAGCACTTTGGGACGCCAAGGCAGGAGGATCATGAAGTCAGGAGATCAATACCATCCTGGTCAACATGATGAAACCCCATCTCTACTAAAATTTAAAAAAAAAATCAGATGGGCGTGGTGGTGTGCTCCTGTAGTCCCAGCTATTCAGGAGGCTGAAGCAGGGGAATCACTTGAACTCAGAAGGCGGAGGTTGCAGTGAGCTGAGATCATGCCACTGTACTCCAACCTGGAGACAGAGCAAGACTCCATCTCAAAAATCAAAAAAAAGAAATAAATAATAAAAGAGAAAATGATGCACATAATAAAAAAATTAGCTGGGTGTAGTGGCACATGCCTGTAGTCCCTACTACTCAGAGGCTGAGGCAGGAGAATCACTTGAACCCGGGAGGCGGAGGTTGTAGTGAGCCCAGATCTGCCGCTGCACTCCAGACTGGGCGACAGAGCAAGACTCTGTATCAAAGAAAAAAAAAGAAAGAAAGAAAGAAAAACACAAAGAAACTAAAAGAAAATGATTCACATAAACTGTATCACAGAATTAAAATCTCAGAGTCTGCATCCTGTTTAGGGAACTTAGGTGTAAACATTTGACTAAGATGTCTCAAATATAAAATAGTGCATTTAATTAAGAAATAGCTCACCGCCTGCTATAGCTGCAGTCCCGAAACTTAAAAGAATTTTCAAGCTCGTTGGGGAGTGAGACCAAGCACCAGAATGAATAGTTGGTGGTTGCTGAGCCCCGCAGACAAGAAGGCACCCAGAGGGTAGGGACAGGTCTGAGCCCTCCTTGGGGGAGGGATATGGCACTTGTGGGGTGGACCTGTCATGTTTCTTGCTGGGGTTCCACTGACGGGTCTTTAGCCACAGGGTTACAAAACAGTGTGCATTTTTGCAACTGAGAACCTGGGCACATTTGGCCTCTGCCCTCAGGCAGTGACAAGGCCAGCATCTGGCTGTCCACATAAATCCCAGTCTGCCCCAGAGAACTGTCACAGGAGTTGACTTCTCAGCCTGCCTCCAGCCAAGCAGTGGGCCCTCCAACCACCCAGGGAGTTCCCACCCCCATCATAGGCCACACATTTCCAAAGAGACAGGTTCCGATAAAATATTTTAATGTGGATTTGGACTGGACCGAACACAGACTAGAGTTCATGGGATGCTCCAGTATTGCTGTGCCTCTGGGTCATCATTCTGTGTCCTGTGTTATTGTCCTATCTCTATGTAAAGTGCTCAATCAACTCAGAAGATGGGCTTGGCATTGTTAGTGTCACTGAGTCCAGCCATCTATAGCAATGACAACTATTTTAAAGGATCATTTTTCAAGTTCAGAGTGGAGTGAAATTTCCAACTGTTCATGATTTTAAATCAGTTGACTGTTAGGAGAACTGAGAAACTGGTAGTTTTATTTATAGACATCTACATCAGATAAAACATTTGTGTTCTTGCAGTTGCAAAATTCTGCACACAGTGAAATAATCCTTGCTGTGCCCGGCTGAAGTTATTTCCATTAGAATGTCAATCAAGATTTTTTCCAAAACATAGAAAAGACTAAGGGAAATAGAGATCTCATCATGAATATTTCCAAGATTTCCTGCCATAGGAATGATTATTACCTTCAATTATAATTTTTCTAAATGTGTGTGAGCTACCCTTCTTGCTTTTAATCTTCACTTTCATTGTGTTTTACAATATTTGTCATGAAAACACATGTATTATTCTACTTTTAGATTTCCCACAAAAGCGTCTGAGCTGTTGGTTTACAGACCGTCAGGTTCCGAATCAGATAGACCTGGGTTCAGAGCCCAACTCTGTCACTTAACACCTGTGTGACGTGGGTCAGTTCGTTGACTTCTCTGAATCTGAATTTATCCTTTGTAAAACGGGGGTTACAATCGTTTGCCCCTCAAACGGTGATGGGCCAAGCTGTCCATCTGGTTAGGTGGGTGGAACCAAGACTCCAGCCAGGGTCATCTGAGCCACAGCTTGGAGAGTAAGCGCTGTGCTGTGTGCGGCAAAGCCCGGCAGAGCTGGGGAGGCCTTATCACGGCTGCAAAGGATTGTGCCAGGTGGAAAGTCCGCAGGTGCAGCGTGGGTAAGGCTTAGGCATGCACCATCTGGCATGAGGCCGAAAAGCCAGTGTGGCTGCTCAGGGCACTCTCCCTCTGCCCAGGGTGCCACCAGCAACAGCTGAGCTGCAGCCAGAGCCCAGCCCAGGTTCTGTGGCTCTCCTGGCATAGTGCCTGCTGCTTCTCATCCTCCAACCAAAAGTCTGAGGTGCTCCTCCAAGGGGAGGAAGCACTTCCCTCAGGTGGGAGCGGGTGGAGGTTGGTCGGCTTGACCCTGCCAGCCCCTGCAGTGCCAGCTCTTCCACCCCTTCCCATCTTCTTGGCCTCAACGTGCCCACTGGGCTATGAGGCAGCCCCTCGCCCCTCTGGGTCCTCATGAAGAAGCATTTCAGGGTCTCTGGCAGGTAGCTGCAAGGCTTACTTGGGGTGGGGTGTGAAAGACACACAGGCCGATGGAGCCCCAGGTCATGTTCATGCCTACTGCAGGCTTCCTCACAGCCAGGAGCTGGGGGATCAGTGCAGGGCTGCCTCTGGGTAGTCCTTATGGAGAGGTCAAGGAGCCAGCCACAGTTTCTCCCTGGCCAGGACTAACTGTCAGGGCACTCATTACCAAGACAGGTGGAGACCCTGGCAGACGGGGGTGTTTTGGGTGAAAGGAGCAGGCTGAGTCCAGGGCCATGAGAACATGGTGAGGGGAACAGAGGGGAGGGGCTCAGTCTGCCCTCCCTTCCTGGGTACTGAAAGTCTCCACAACACACCCCAAGGCAGCATGTTTAAAACTAAACCCTAGCTCTTCTTTCACATTGGCTCAGCTCCCTCCTCCTCCCCTCATTTCCCTCCTCCGGCTGTCCAGCGCTGTCCCTGCCTGCTTCTCTCTCCCTGCTGTCGCTGAACCCTGGCGTTCTTCCCTTTGGAGGACCCTACTACGTTACCCCTGCAGCCTCCATCTGCCTTGCTCCCCATCCTCAGTCCATTTGGACTGCCTCTGGCAAGTACTCTCTGCTCGTAACTCTTTTTTTGTGTCCTCCACTCAGAGGTCAGATGCATGGCCCTAGACCACCAACTTCATTAAAGTCCCTGCTTCCACCTACCCATCGGAAGATGGCTGTAGCTCCCCACTGATTTCAGGGTAAGGCCGGATGCCCTAGCTGGGCCGGGACAGTCAGTTGGCAAGCACTGCTGCCACCTGTCCACCTCCATGCCCAGGGCGGATCCGAGGACCCTTTCCCATTGAACTCAGACTGGGCATCAGAAACCTTCTCTGGATGGCACTGCAGGCGTCAGTATGCCTCAGTGATGTGTACACAAAAGGTGGTGGCTGCCTACCCTTGCAGCCCTGCCTGCCCACCCTGTGTCCCATGCTCACCTCCCACCACCATGCTCTGGTTCCTCTCTGTCCATGCTCTGCATGCACCGTGAGGTGCTGGGCTGTGTCTTCCCTGATGGCCTCTGTAGATGGAGTCTTGTCCACCCCGCCCCCCACAGGCACACAGTCCTGGAGTTTGCCGTGTGCACGCCCCCACAGCCGCAGCTGAGGGCCAGCTGCCTTCAGCCCAGGAGGCAGGCAGGCGTGGGTGTCCCTTTAGCTGCCTGATGAAGGAGGCAACTGCTCTAATTGGATCCTCCACCCATCTACTCAGAAGGGCCGTGACACACACTCCTAAGGACAGGAGGCAGGTACACTGAGGAGCTGTGTGTAGAATGCTGGGCACTCTGCACAGAACACGGGAGTCTGAATGGGCCAAGTGAGCTAAAAGGGGGATTGGGAGAGTCAAACACTCATGGGTACAGCAATCACCAGGCCCCAGGCAGCTCTCATTTTGGCTCCTACTGTGTGTCATTGTCTTCAAAGGCAGGAGCAGTGAGTGGGCGTGGCAGGGCTGCTGCCATCTTGCTCCCCCACCTGCAAGGAGGCCCCTGCAGAGAGTGAGCTGTGTGAGACGGGTAGGCAGGGTCTTCCAGAGTCTATGATACTGAGTGCCTCCTGCTTTCCTCCACAGCCGCCGGGGCGCTGGCAGCATGGAGCTGAAGAGAGGAAAGACCTTCATCAAGTCCAGCCTGCAAGTTTCCCATGAGAAACCCCCAGACCCAGCGGCCGTGGCTCCAGCCAGGGAGGGGGCAGTCCCCTGTTCAGTCCTGCCAGGAGCGCAGCAGAGGCCCCACAGTGAGAAGGGCCCCCAAGCCAGCCCCAGTGCCCAAGAATACGACAGATGCCCCAACAGAGGGGCACAGCCGGACCCCAAAGGGGGACCCGCAGCCCTCTGTGGAGCCACCTTCAAACCGGTGCGAAAGAGTAAGACTCACGACAGCGTGTCTGGAGCAGGCAGGGCCACGGCTGCCACAGGGCAGTTGGTGGGCAGTGCAAGCTTCCCAGGCTCCCCGGGCAGCCGGCGCATGATCGACTACCGCCACTTTGTGCCCCAGATGCCCTTCGTGCCAACTGTGGCCAAGAGCATCCCGAGGAAGAGGATTTCCCTGAAAAGGCCCAAGAAGTGCTTTCGGAACCTATTCCACATTCGCAGAAACAAGACTGAGGACCTGGCCTCACTGGCGGCTGAGGGGAAAGGTCTGCCCTCCCCAGGGGACCCATCAGACCCCGGGGGCTGGCAAAGCAAACGCTTCCTCCCCCCGGGTGAGGGGCCAGGGCTGGACAGCCTGTACCAGGACCTGTCGGACAGCGAGCTCCTAGCTGATGCGTCCTTTGGTCTGTGCAGGGCCCTGTGTGAGGACGTGGCCTCACTGCAGAGCTTTGACTCGCTCACGGGTTGTGGGGAGGTCTTTGCGGATGAGAGCTCGGTGCCATCCCTGGAGCTGAATGAGGGCCCGGAGAGCCCAACCCAAGCAGCTCAGGGCCTGGAGAGCAAGGTTCCCAGGGGCCCCCTCCAAGGCAGCGTGGAGCAGCTGGCCTCGCCCGCCCAGAACGAAGCCTCTGACTTCACCAGGTTCTGGGACAGTGTGAATCGCTCAGTGCGGCAGCAGCAGCGTGCCCTGCTAGGCCCATGGCTTTCGGGCCACCAGGGCACAGACAGGGACCAATCCCAGCTGGACACAGCTGGGCTCGCTGAGCTGCCCCTCTGCCCCTGCAGGGACCCTCGCAGTGGCTCCAAAGCCAGCTCCATCGACACAGGCACCCCCAAGAGCGAGCAGCCCGAATCCGTGTCCACGAGTGACGAGGGCTACTATGATTCCTTCTCACCAGGACTTGAGGAGGACAAGAAGGAAGCTGAGAGCCCAGGCACTCCCGCCACCACCTTCCCACGGGACAGCTACAGTGGGGACGCCCTCTACGAGCTCTTCCATGACCCCAGCGAGGGTCCTGTTGGCCCCAGCCCAGATGATGACCTGTGCGTGTCTGAGAGTCTGTCAGGGCCGGCCCTGGGGACGCCACTGTCCATGTGCAGCTTCCGAGTGGGGGCTGAGGAGAACTTGGCCCCAGCACCAGGCCCCGACCTGCTCAGCCAGGGCTTCCTACAGAGCTCCTGGAAGGGCAAGGAGTGCCTGCTGAAGCTGTGTGACACTGAGCTCGCCATCACCATGGGCATCGTCAGCTGGCTGCGCCGAGGCCCCACGCCCCGTGCCCCACCCACCCCTGGACAGCCTGCAGCTCCATCTGGTCCCCAGGGAGCCCCCAGGGCACCCACAGAGAAGTTGGGGGGCAGGGAGGGCTTGGCCTCAGACGCAGGCGGGGCAACGGTTTGCTCAGCACCCAGCAGGCAGGAGCTGTGGGCACACACGGGCACCACAGACCTGCTTGCCGGAGAGAGCAAGGCCCTCGGGGTGGCCACACAGGGGACTGGCACACTGTCCAGGGATGCCTCTCAAGAGGAAGGGACACGAGGTCACTCTGAAGACTTGTTCTCCTCTGTGGAGTCTGCAGCCACTTCGACAACAGATGCTTCCAGTGAAAACAAGGCCCCAGTCCCTTCTGCCTGGCCCTGCTCCCAGAAGGAGCCTGGGCCACCAGGCGTCCTGGGGTGTTTCCGAGGCCCCTGGAGGCCAGGTCACAGGGGTGGCACTCTAGATGCAGAGCCCATGCTGGCAGGCTGTGTGGCCCGTGCGGCAGCCCTGAAGATCAGCTCCAACGACCAGCCCTCGGCTGCCGCATGGCCTCCAAGGCAAGATGTGGGCAGTGGGCTCTTTGGGCAGCGTCGGGCCAGGGGCCCCGACATTCTAGAGCAGAAACAGTCCAGCAGCTCCCCCAGCATGACCACTGTCCATGGCCTACCCTACTCGGCCGGCACACCGGACCAGAGGTGTCGAGATCATGTCCAGGACCTGAGCTGGCTCAGGGTGGAGCCCCCAGGGCTGGGTGTCCAGGCCTGGGCCCCTGTGGAGGACCCGGCCCTGCAGCTCCGCACGGCGGCTGTGGAGCAGGTGGCATACAGCAGAAAGCTGGACTCTGAGCCCCCATCAGCCCCTGCTGCCCAGTGGAGTCCCCAGGGCCCCCATCCAGAAAGCCTGGGCCTCACTTTGAACCGCCAGCGGGAAGCGGGGGTCTCTGCAAGTGCCCCAGAATGCCGCTGCAGCCTCCTGGCCCGTGAGGGCCTCCTCTGTGGCCAGCCAGAAGTGGGGGCTTCCAGGTCAGCCGTGGCGGAGCCCCATCCGTAGGACAGGCTCACTCGCACCAGGAGCTGCATGTGTCTTCATGACCGCTTTCAGGAGAGCCTAGGACTCAAGTCTCTATCTTTTGTCCCTGATGTGGGGACTGTGTTGGGGGGAGGGGGTGGCAGGACTCAGGCATGCGGAGGGTAGCATGTTCATGGGGAGGCATTCTTGCCTGAACCCACCAGCTCAGGCAGCCCGCCGCCCCTCCACCAAAGAGAGCGTGAAGCTGCAGCCCCCTCGCTGCTCCTCATGCAGGGGCTGGAGAGAGGGGCGGGGCTTGAAACCGATGGGGAAAAAAGAGCTGCACCTTGTAAAATGGAAGCGGAGAGCCAATGAATCTGCCCGGGGATTGTGTGGGAATCCCGAAAGACACAGTCCCAAATGCCATAGTCCCAAGCGTTGAGAATCCAAAATATTAAAATTACTCTAAAATCCCAAAATCACAATCCCAAAAGATCTAAATCCTGGAAATATAATTCTGGGAATTTTTAAAAAAATTTTTTAAAAGATATTTACATTTTAAAAGGATTTGAGAAACATAAAAACAACAGAACACATCATTAGCCACTTTACACAATAAAATAGGCAATAATACATATTTTTGCAAGCATAAACACTCAGGTAAATACTAATGACAGTTACACAGGTGTGAGTTATTAGCAGACAAACTATATTCATAAACAAGTCAAAATGGGAAACGTATACATGCACATCACTATGCTTGGTAATTGCGTGCACCCGACTTGGTATCTGCAGTCACGTCATGACCAGCAACCTGTCTTTTGATGAAGTCAATCTACGATGCATCACCACCACACACGCAGTTGCCCAAAGACCGGAGATGGCAAGAACTTTCATCTCTCACAAACACAGATGTACAAAAATTACATCTCTTCATTTATGGAGGAAGTTTTGATGCTTTTACACACACGCACAACGCTTACACACACAGTCAACCTGGGATGCTGGCAGGGTGGCTCAGGACGAAAGCCTCGGGACCCAAGAGGGCCACGGGTGTAAGTCCCAGAGTCCAAAGGCCAGCGAGCCTGGAGCTCTGATGTCAAGGCAGTGGAAGAAAAGGCTGTCCCAGCTCTGAGAGAGACCAGTTCGCCTTCTGTATTTGTTCCCTCTGGGCCTCAGCAGATCGAATGCTGCCCACCAACACTGAGGGTGGATCTTCCCCACCTAGGCCCCTCAGACTCACACACTCATCTCTGGAAACACCTCACAGCTATGCCCAAAATAACGACCTCCCAGGTCTCTAGGTATCCCTTAACCCAGTCGAGTCCACCCCTTGTCAACCTGGCATCCATCTGCATCCCCTTCAACCATTCTCAGTCTCCAAATAAAGCCCTAAGCAAGGTAGTAGCTCCACCCAACATGATGCCACTATCCCGGGATTGTGATTTTCAAGACTTTAGATGTCAGGGATTTGAAACTTTAGAGATTTGTGTCTTTCACTATTTCGATGTTGGGGACCAGTGTTTGGGATTGTATCTTTCAGAATAATGATCCACACTTGTGTGAGGACTGCAGGGTTCAGGAAGACAGATGGGGGAGCCGACCTTAGGAGGGCCCACTGAACCAGCCTCAGTCTGGCCCCAGTCTGGCCTACTTGCTGCCCCAGGACGGGTGGCTACAACCTGCTGAGGGCCTGAAGGGCGTCTGTCTCCTCAGGAACACTGTATTACCCTGTTTTGTGTTGCTATAAAGGCTGACTGTGACCAGGTCATTTATAAAGTAAAGAAGTTTATTTGGCTTATGATTCTGCAGGCTGTACAGGCATAGCACCAGCATCTGCTGCTTTTTTGTTTTTCTTTCTTTTTTTTGAGACAGGGTCTCACTTTGTCGCCCAGGTGGGAATGGGAGTGCAGTGGCTCAGCCTTGGCTCACTGCAGCCTCTACCTCCTGGGCTCAAGCAATCCTCCCATCTCAGCCTCCCAAGTAGCTGGGACTACAGGCGTGCGCCACCATGCCCGGCTAATTTTTCTATTTTTTTGTAGAGACGGGTTTTCACCATGTTGCCCAGGCTGGTCTCAAATTCCTCAGCTAAAACGATCCATGCGTCTCAGCCTCCCAAAGTGCTGGATTACAGGCGTGAGCCAGCCAGCATCATGCACCCCTGTGCAGCCCTGCCAGGACTGGCTGGACCCTGCCACCCTTGTTGATGGGCAGTGCTGGATTATTTGTCACGAGCCATCCGCTACAAACGATGATTTCCCTCCGCTTGCGCTCTCTCACTAGAGCCAGGGATGGCCAAATGCTCTTTGGGAAGAAGCCAGTGGATTCTCCTCGGCTCTGCCTGCAAGTAACAAAGGCTTTTGACTCCACCCCCTCCACGCTGTCAGATTGCCATTCACCCCTTCAGGAAAACTCCGAATGGGGCCGTGGACCTCACTCCCCAAAATGTCGCAACATACGTGCAGCACCCCAACATTCAGAACCATGAAGGGCGAAGGTGGCTGATGTCTGCAGGAGGGACAGGTGTCCGTCCTGGCCCAGTGTCAGGCCAGCAGGTGCAGGGACAGATGGGCCATCCACATTCTCCAGGATTAGCTTCTACCTCAAGCAGCACATCTCAGCAAGATGCCAGGATGGGGCTCCACAGGCAGCCGTGAAATGGGTTTCTGGAGGAAAGACCAGCACAAGAAAAGGGGTCAGTCAGGTTGCAGGCAAACTGCTAGGGAAATCCCATCTCTTGCAGGGCTCCCACCAAGAGGACCGTGCGTTGTGCTGCCCTGGCTGGAGAAGAAGGCAACACGGGATCTGCAGCTGAGGGTGGCCCTCCCACCAGGGGACGCTGATCCGTGCCTCTCCTGACCGCCTGACGCTTGGTCTCCGGTGGCCCTCTCTCACAGGGCTCCCTTGGTCTCCGGTGGCCCTCTCTCACAGGGTTCCCTGAGGCCTGCAGGGAACAGGGCACAGGCTGCACGTCACAGGTTCCAAAGTGTGCAGCAACTTCTGACCAGGCCCATCCAGACCTGGAGCCCCTGTGGAACCACATCGGAGTCCTCCTCCCGAAACTCATACACAGGACCACGGCACCGAGCCGGGCTGGGGGCCCAGATCTACTTACCTAATCCTCGCATCAACCTCAGTGCAGTTGTCGGCCCCGTTTTTCAGACCTGGACACGGAGGCACAGGGTGCTGGTGTGACTTGCCCACAGTTGGTCTGTGAGGTGATGGGTTTTGTCCCCTCCCAGCTCCAAAGGCCCTGCTCTTCCTCAGGCTCCAGAACCTCTCACTGAGCTCCCGCAGGGAAGTCCCCAGTCAGAGCCCTCAGCCCCTCCTGCTTTCAGGCTGCAGATGTCAGAGCACCCTTGGGTGCCAGCCACAAGTGCCCCTCTGGCAGACTGAGCCCCCGGCGGGAGGCTGCCCTGACTCAACCCCAGCCCGGGGCTTTGTGCTGCCCCTGAGGGAGAAGCCGCTCCGTAAATCCTTGTTGAAAGAATAAAGTGTCAAAAGGTGGTGTGTGCTTTTCTGATTTCTTGTTGACCATGAGCCTTGTGTCTGGAGGGTGACTCTGACCTGAGTGCCAGCCACCTCCCCCTGGCAGAGACAGAGCACTCCCTTGTGCAATGCTGTGATGCAGGGACTCGTGGTGATGGAGAGCCCAGCTAGCCCCAACAGCACTGGGAAGGGCAGGAATCCAGGGGGTTAGGGAGTGGTCAGGAGGGCCTGGGATCCAGAGAGGGGCAAAGCGTGCCCAAACCCCAGGCCATGTGGAGGCGCGGTCTACATTGACCCGGTGGCAGGGCCATGCCCCCTGGGAGGACCTGCTGGCCTCGGTTTTCCACTTGGGGGCACTATAGACAATCCCAGAACCTCAGATTCGAATTCAGCATCTGGGGCTGGGGTCCTAGGAGTGGCCTGCTAGGCACCCTGCTGGAAGATGGAGGGGGTGGTGTGAGCTCCCTCAGGGTGATCTCTCTCTCTGCACCCCGCCCTCAGCCTGTCTTTCCCGGCAGGCCTCAGGGTGACCCACTGTGGGTAAAGAAGGGAACTTCAGGCCGGGCGCGGTGGCTCACACCTGTAATCCCAGCACTTTGGGAGGCTGAGGCAGGCGGATCATGAGGTCCGGAGATTGAGACCGTCCTGGCTAACACGGTGAAACCCTGTCTCTACTAAAAAAAATACAAAAAAATTAGCTGGGCGTGGTGGCGGGCCCCTGTAGTCCCAGCAACTCAGGAGGCTGAGGCAGGACAATGACGTGAACACGGGAAGCGGAGCTTGCAGTGAGCCGAGACTGCGCCACTGCACTACAGCCTGGGTGACAGAGGGAGACTTGGTCTCAAAAAAAAAAAAAAGAAGGGAACTTCAAGCCCAGCTCCCGGGACACGTGCCTAGCCCAATGCTGGGGCGGAAGAGGCTGGCTGGGCATGTTCAGACCTCCCTGGTCATTTCCAGCCCTCTCATCCACACATGGCTGTAGAGGTGACCGCAGGTTTCCCCATGTGAAATAAAATCCTGAAGTCGGTCCAGTTGTCCTAAGCTCACAGCTGTCCCACAGAGCCTGAGTGGCTCACCCAGGGTCCCAGAGTCCCACAGGCTGTGGAAAAGGGGTTTGCCCAGGGGCTGCGCACTGGAGCTTCCAACCACCATATTGTGCTGGGAAGCTGGGAACACTGGGTAGGGCCAGGAGGGAGAGAGGGAGGAGGGCAGGGAGGACGGGCGGGAGGCGCTGGAAAGGAGAAGTGGCGAAGGCCAGTGCAGGTCAGGAGAGACTGCAGACTACATCCCAGGATGCTTCATGTCTTTCCTGGTTTCCTATTTTATTTTCTGGAATCGGAATAAATACACGGGATACAAAACTCAGAAGGCTCAGCAGGGAAACAGTGAAAGTGGAATCGCCATCCTTCCTCCCTCAGCCCTCTGTTGTTACAAAATTAACCCACTCTGACAAAAGACAAAATTGCAACAAATTTCATTACAGATGTAACTGGCTTTTATTTGTGATTCCTGAATGTGGTAGCCTCCATTCTACAAAACAGAATGAGAGCTGCTCCAGGGAATGGCAGAACACTGGGTTTTGTAAGCGGGGTGCAAAGAAACACTAACAGGAAAGAAGCTGATCAGTTAACAGCAGGCTCCTTCAGGTGACTGCACTGTACGGGCTGAAGCAGAGGGGCTTGCTTATCACACAGACGCCGGAAGACAGGAATCTCTTATTTCCAGGAAAAACTGGTCCGTTTTGGAATCTCTCTGCTTACTTAAAGTTTCCGTTTGGTGATGTGGTATTTAGCACGAGTGACTGCATTGGGGTTTGGTCTGGTCTGTTGGGACGTGGGGCAGGAGCTCAGTCCAGAGCCAGGGCTACCTGGGATTGTGGTTTCACAACCCTGACCACACCCAATCCAAACAGCCCCAGTGCACAGCCCCCTCCCCTCCTCTCCTCCAGCCCTGGTGGGAGACGTCAGACTCTTTCTATTCCCTTGACATACATACTGTTAACAGAGAACCATATTCTGTCGAATATCTTAAAAAGGCTTATCCTGAGTCAATATGAGTGACTGCGGGCCCAGGAAAACACAAACCCAAGAAGTCTGGGGTCAGTGGGCCCGAAGCAGTGGGATTGCAATTTGGTTTTACGCATTTTAGGGAGGCAGTGGTTACAGGCAAAAACATAAATCATACTTGCCTGAAAAATCTACTTAAAATAATAAAACATGAAAAAAAGGGGGAAAAAAAGATATAAATCAATCAGGGAGGTATACATTGGTCCAGCCCAAAAAGGTGGGATGTCTTGAAGTGGGAGGGAGGGCTTAAGGGTTACGGGTGGCTTTAGATATTCTTTAATTTGCAATTGGTGAAAGGAGTCAGGCTCTGTGTAAACTTTGAATCATCAGTAAGGAAAGTTTTCAGTTCAGGTAAGAATGCTATCTATGTAGTAAGATTGCTGGCCTGCAAGCTGACTTAACCCTGGCCTTGCATGGCCTTAGGTCTTGCTTATAATTTGGCATCTTATTGCCCCAAAGAGTCTGTTTTGGCTGGTGTGGTGGTTCACACCTGTAATTCTAGCATTTTGTGAGGCCGAGGCAGGAAGATTGCTTGAGTCCAGGAGTTTGAGACCAGCCTGGACAATATGGCGAAACTCCATCTCTACAAACAATGCAAAAATTAGCCGAGCATGGTGGCTCTCACCTGTGGTCCCAGCTACTTGGGAGGCTGAGGTGGGAGGATCACTTGAGCCCAGGAGGCTGAGGCTACAATAAACCATGATCGTGCCACTGCACTCCAGCCTAGGGGACCGAGTGAGACCCTGTCTCAAAAAAAAAAAAAAAAAAAAAAAAAAAGCCTCTTCTGTCAGTTTTATGGTTTCTGTTTCAATATTAATGCTGGTCAGCTGTACCTAAACTCCAAAAGGGAGGGGGTATGAAGAGGTGTGTCTGACCTCCCTTCTCATCAAGGCTGGTAATTTAGATTTTGTGGGTTTTCTGAGGTCCCCTTGGCCAAGTGGGATTCTGTTCAGTCAGTGGGGGGCTTAGGATTTTATTTTTAGTTTACAACACACGCGTAAACTTCAATGAATTTTTACTGCCCAGGACATCCTCCCCAGCTTAGCAGGCACCACAGCGCGCAGCTCCCCCAACCTTCTGCACAGCTGCTCTCCTGGAGGGAGCAGTTAATTTAAACACTCCCCCGTTGATGGACATTTAAGTTACTTCCCATTTGCTGTTGAAACAGTGCTGCATTCACTCCCTCCTTCCCAGAAGAGTTCACCATTAAAGTCCT